GGAGCGGGGTTGTAGGAAGGGTGGCGAGTAGGGAGATGTTCGGTCCGAGATGAGTATCGGAACGGACGGAGAAGGGGTCGGAGAGGTAAGAGGAGGGGTGTGTTGCCGAGACCGAAGGTGAGTATCGGAAAGGCAGCGGTGGGTTATGACTCCGGAGGTGAAGAGGGTGGAGGTCCGGAAGTCGGGTCGGGGTCGGGTATGCACGGATATGACAGAAACTACTTTCCCACGTCCGCACACGTAGCAAGGATGGAAGTACCACGGAACAAAGATTCCTCAGGAACTAATGCAAAAGTCAAAGTCGTGTTTATAATAGGAAATGTAGATGTCACCCAAACGGAACCAATGAGAGTAATTACAGGGGAAACTACCCATAAACGACGGAGATATGACTAAAACTCCTGCAAAACGAGGACAATGTCTAAAAAGCAAGCGCGAAGATTAACTAGTAACGACCGAGACAAGCTTGATAGCCCATTAGAAAGGAAAGGATCTACTCTTAATCCTCCCAAATTTCCATAATAAAAGGATCATGCGTTAATGAGAAATCCAATAACGGGAATAGCGACATCAAAAGTCCGAGCTCAGGGACAAGACGATGATTGCGTAGGATCCATAATTAAAACATACAACGAAATTTACACGGAAATTATGAAAATTAGGAAACTATAGTTATGCAAATTCTCAGCCCAAACGGTCCAGCCGTTGTGAAGTTATACCCATGACGGGAATATAGGAATCCGCATCATGTGTAATGACACGTGAGGGTGGCGATGCGCAGGGAACCGGCCGTCGGAACCGAGATCCGCACTTCGGCAGATCGCAAAGACCAATTTCCATCCAAATAAGGAAGAGCCCGGTCAAAACAAAGCACGAAAAGTGCAAAACAACCTTAGATCATAAGGGAAAAATCTGAAATAAATCACAGAAGCCCATATGAAAGAAATAAACACCCGCGCATATCATAAATCCCGAACAACTAAACGAAAACGGCTCCCGCATACGAACAACTATGGGAACGACGCATGTGATTACCGAATGTGCGCGCGAAACTTTGCTAACTCAACGAATACAGGGAAATATGACACAACCTTAGTACCATTGGAAAGGTGGGAATAAATGAAAATTTATGATACCAAGAACGTGAGAAAACATCCAGAAATGAATGAGATACAAGGACATGAAGTTAGAAACCTGAAAACACGCGGGAAGACAGCTTCAAGAGGTCTAGAGCCCTAAATAAAATACATAAAAATATGATATTTTCGAGGACGACCTACTATAACAACAAACAATACATATGGAGGATTAGGATGTGATAATACAAAGGGGAATCAGGGAATATGAACGAAATTCACAAAAACTACTAAACTACGACGGACCATGGCGGGAATTTTAGGGAACGATGTTCTAATGAAGTAGAGAGCTATAACACATTCGTTTGAGTAATTCTTGATTACTAGCAACTTTTTCTTTCAGTTTTAAACCTGAATAATTCACTCATTTATCATTTCAGTCTCATTTTAACTAAATGTCACTAAATAAAATTGGAATAAATCAGCTGAAGGTCTCAGCACAGTCGCACGCATAGTAATGCGAGGTTTGAATTCAGTATGACCGAGTCATAGCGAACTTAATGGGAAATATGGGGAATTTGAAATAGGGAACTGCGGCAAATGCGGCGCAGACAAATTCTAATTAACCATTAAAATAGCTTAGGCGAGGAAGGACAATAAGGATTCCAGGCGCAGTCTGACCGCAGTAGAACCGCAGTTCAGCGCAGCAAAGCGCAGTGGAACTATAGCGTGAAAATTTCACTTTTTATTCAGTTTGAGAAAAATACACTGTAAATAAATCCTGTAAATAGAAGGTAGAGCGTGAAAAAGGAAGGCGACCCAAGGAGTATAAAAGGGAGACCCTTTCTGCGACTTTTCGCCCCCCTTAGAGAAGTAAGAAAATAGAGTATTATTTTTCTCAAGCATTTCTGGTTGTCACTCCAGTGCGAAAAAGTGATATACAGTTAAGATTGCCACTGTAGTAAAAGGCAGCAAATAAGGAGAGAAATATTAAGTAGATATTTCAACAGGAGAGCTGGTTAACACTCCAGATTTCAAAGTGTAAACACAAAACAGTTATCTTGCTACTGTTAAAACAAGCAATAAAATAAGACAAAAATAAATAAACCCAAGGGACACTCCAGATACAATCCAAATTCATTAACTGAATAGAATCTTTGAAACTTCACCAAGTAGAAGATTAAATTCAAGTTTAAATCCAAATTAAACAACGCTACACAGAATTACACCTAGACAAATTAATAAATTTCAATAAAGAAACAGCTCCGCAGGGCTCGGTTTATCTGTAAGTCAATTCCCAGGAACTTTAAAACTAACCCATAAAAATAGAATTAGCCAAAACACTCGGATTGGTACTATATTTACAATAAACAACACTAGTACACTTCCCCATCCTAACTAAAGAACCAGGGAACAGCTTGGTGGTGGTCTCGTTTGAACCTCCCAACTGACCTTCCTTCGTTCTCTCCTTCAACGTACCAGTAGCAGGTTGTTAACATGAGTGTCCAGTAAGGAGTGACTAGTGGGGCCTTCAGTGACTTGGTGTTCCCAAAGTGTCAGGGGACGACTCCCGGGTCCCCATGACCCTCCCCTATGGCCCACAGCCTCAGGTCTGGCCAGCCCTATCCAGGGCACAATCTACTGTGGGTAAGGAGATGAGAAGGAAGCTAACTTCTCATCTTCCCACAGTGGCCACAATATCAGCAAAACTTCCGGGGATACCCGGAAGTCACATGAAGGGGTAGGAACCGGGTCCGGAGCATGCGGCGCGCGGAGCGTGCACGCGTGCGGGAAGCGCGGCGGGTGGAAGCGGGTCCGGATGCGGGTCCGGGTCCGGGCTAGTCAGGGTGTGTGCCCTGACACAAAGGGAACATACTGAGGGCAGTGAGATGTGGTGACTGGCGAGGGAGAAACTAGATGGTTGATGGGCAGCTACTTGGCACTCGTGTATCAAGCATGCCAGCATCACAGGAATATGAGCCTCAGAGCAGTCGCAATCCCTAAGATCATAGTATGACATCGTCCATCAGGCACTGGAGGGAGAGCTAAGTGATGATGTCCTGTAGGATACAGGTTCCAAGGGATGATACACAAGTCATGAGTCTTCGACTCGCAACTTTGAGCTCTCATGGTGAGAACCATCAGAAGACTCAATGTAACCAGACATATAGGACATGTTGAGAGTTGTACACACACAGTTCAGCTGAGTCACAGAAGGGGGGTTGTTACAAGGGACAGCACACAAGGTGGTTGTAGTATCTCGTAGTAGTTAGTGGGAACCACCTCTGGTGGTTTCTGTTAGAACTGGGTGAGGGTGGACGATTCCGGAGGGGAACCAGAGACTTAGTAAGGAGGGACCTTGGCCTCAGCGACTCAAGCAGAGTGCTGTGCCATTGCTGTTTGTCCATTTGGTCCTTAATTTCATAGGCAGTGAGCAGGAAGTCTCTAGGGGGCATTTCAGGTCGATTTTAGACTAAGGCCTAAAACGAGTATGTACAAGTGCCGATATATATAATGGAGAGGGCAAAAGCACAAGGAAACAAAGGGGGTCCGAATCGGAACGAAGGCATCCAAATGGGAACAAAGGGATGACAGAAGCAGAGCAGTACCGAAGGTCATAGGGCAGAACCTGTGGTACATCCGAAAGGAGGTAAGGAGGGCAAAGCCCAGAGGGGCAGGAGGATGAGGGGAAGTGGGGATGATGACTAACTGGCTAAAATGGGAAGAAGCAGCAGTCCAAATAGGGATGAGGGGAAAACACGAAAGATACATTACAAACAGCAAAAGTACCAAAGGTGATCCATGGAGCTTGGGGGTTACGGAGCTAACGGAGGTTATGGGGGCAGGGTTGAAAGTCCGAGGAATATTGGCAATGGTGTTTACATAGTATGAGGTCACCAATGCAATGGACCAAAGCCAAGGTGGAGTCAAAGTCCGAGGTAGGAACTATGATGGAGTCTCGGAGCAAAGGTACAAGCAGTGTCCGAGTACGAGGTATGGGACAGCAGCAGAAGGTCATAACTTGGTGGAAGGTCAGCAGAAGAGGGCCAGAGGGAAGAGGAAAGGGGAAAGGTGTGGAGGAGAGGAAAGGTGTCAGGTCCAAAGGTGAGTGTCGGAGCAGACGGGCGAAGGGTGGGAGAATGATGGAAGGGTGGAGGTGTTGTGAGGAGGAAGAGGAGGAGTGGGAGGAAGAGTAGGAGGAGGGTGGCGAGAGGAGTGGTGTTCAGCCTGAGGTGAGTATCGGAGCAGACGGAGATAGGACAGGAGAAGGACAGAGGAGTGGAGGTGGCATGAGGGGTGAGAGGAGGTGTGGTGTCAGGACCGAAGGTGAATATCGGAACGGACAGCGGTAGGGTAGGACTCTGGAGGTGGTGAAGGTGGAGGTCTGGGAGTCAGTTCGGGATCGAGTATGTACAGATATGACAGTTTCCATACATGATGTGTGACTATCTACAAATGGAATGGTCACAGGAAATCCCACGAAATGCAAACAACCTCAGCCAGCACCAAAACCCCGATGGGGAAAGCTTTGCATGAGGGGGGGAATGGAATAGAATGGGAGAGGATAGACAGGCATGATAAACTTTTGCCTCCCTTGGCACTTCCCCTGATATCGTCCAACAGAGGCTCAAGAGAAGGTGCCCCTGAAGGTCGGTGACCCTGCAATGATTTGGCTTTCTTCGGTAAATTTTCCATAATTTTCTCAGCAAGTGGCAGCGGTTGAGCAAGACTGAACAGTTCAACACATTGCTGGATCGTGAAGTAGGTGCACAGCCTTGACATCCTCTAATTCCCACACAACAAGCGCCCCTTCTGTCAGTCAGTACAAGAGGCCAGAATGCATGCGTTCAGGATAACTCAACACATTGCAACTCGGGTTTCATGGACGGACAGCTAATGAATGGGGAATCATCATCAATGACGTTATTCTCTGTACAGACTGGAATACCAGGCCTGTCCACTGACATCGATCAATTTGGCAACTCCGAAGTGTGATAGAAACGAGGCAGCCAGATGTTGGGGTGGGAGAGCGACCAGGTTTGTCAGGAGCAGGAAGTAGGAGACAATCATCGACAGACCTGGGGCGATCTTGCTCCTAATCACCACACCGTCCACAGCCACTATTACTCTTCGACCACCGGCCCGGGAGTCTTCAAGCTTCATATGAAAGATCCCTCGCAAGGACTCTCCAATAACAAAGGCTTGGAAGTACCACGAACAGCATGCAAGCTTTCCATACTCGGAAGAAGCTCCGTGCCAGACGCGCGTTGGAGTGTCTGCAATAGACTCGCAAAGTGTTCGTGACACCAGCAAGAGTATCTTATGTGAAATAACTGCAACCGGAGTAGGGAAGGTAGCGTGAAGGAGAATGTTAAAAGATGGTTATATATAAACCCTCTGCACCACAAGCCACTCCGGATGTCGGCACAGAGAATGCGATGAATTCCAGAGGAATCGGAAGTTTGAGCAGACTGATCCATCCGAACGGGTTCCAGGTCCAAGCGCACAAGACAACACAGAGCCAACATTCGGAGAATGGTATTTGAAACAGACTAAGACAGTTAGAAACCACTATTTGCCTGTGCACCGGTCCCATGGCTGGACTGTAAGTTTGCATGGACGGACTATTGATACCAAGGACATCCCGAGTATTAACATTTGAGTCATTCTCACCCACCAAGGGGACAGAGCCCTGGCGCCAGGTCAATGATTCCGATCATTAGCATCGAGCTTAAAGGACACCTTGACGCGACATTTGATGTGTAGAGCTGCCAGATTCTGAGAAGATGGCCCCGAGACTCACCGAATCGGCAGTCTTTTTTCCTTCGATAACTTCAAACCCGGTTGCCAGGGTGTGGGCGAACCTAGATAGCGCGTGCAAGTGGGCAGGACTCGGGCCACACGCACGCACAGATGGATATGCTAGTGCTGATGTCTGAGATGGATCCCAACCGTTCTTCCAGCTCTGAACAAGCATGCGAAATGGCATAAATGTCAGCGATGCGAAACCCATGATTTCGGGACGGTCCAGCTGGTTTGTGAGCCGCCTGGGGCTCATGAGTGACAATGTAGATTGAGCCCCTCGTATTGGAGACAGGACCGGAGCACGGCCTACTAGTGAGTAAAATAAAACCAAGAACATGGCAGACGCAGGAATCTACGAGCTCCTTTAAATTAGGGTCGACATCCGGAACAAAAGCACACAAAGGGGCTAGACCCATGTATATTTTCAGAGGTTGAAACAGCGTTAGCTGAGCAACTGCTGCCATTGCACAAGACCCGGGCTGTTGTCTTCTTCACAAGATGGTCAGTTGTAGGAAACACTTGATAGCTTCAAACTCGTGGCAATTGCCTAGCCACAGTAACATCATCACGCCGCAATATCATATAGCCTTATATAGATACGTTCAAACAGCAATATTTCATGAGCAAAATGTTCCATAACGCGCCTTTTGAAGTGACCGGCCCCCCGTTTGCGAGCATGAAGAGCATCTCCAAATGGAGTATCCTACGAGCAGCTGGTTAGGAGTATGCAGGGATACGTAGGGTGGGCGTGAAGCCTGGAGCTGGGAGTCCGACGCTAATATATTTCCCAGGCGACTCCGGTTCCGAAAAGGGCATTGACCTTCCGTGAGCGCGATATCGTGAAATACCATATTTGTGCGCGCAGGCCGACCCAACACGAATCATTGAGAATATCAATTTGAAGTGACGAGGTACGAGTCAGAGCCGTACACAGACTTGATCAGCTAAAAACCCACCTTGGCACCCGCCAACGACGGCTGAAGGGACGCCACCATTAACGGCGCTTGCCGAGCCGACAGAACCGCGGATGAACGTTTCCGCGGTGGGATAGTATGTATTTTGTTGGTGGTCTTTGGGGTATTGTCATTGGAGGTACTCAGGGACCAGCTTAGCATCGCTCCCTTGATCGACCATGGATTGCATTTCGCATTGAACCCGTCAAATCTCATATATTCGAAGTGAGGCTGTCACGACTATTCCCCAATGTTCACTCAATTGGCGGAGCTCCTTCGATGAGAATGCTTAAAGAAGATGTATGGCGGCTTGATGCGCTTAGTCATCCGTCCCTACCGCACCTAGACAAGCCATCATGTCTGCAACAGCGTATGAGCATACTTCCAAGGTCGAAGTGGTCATCGAACGACGTAATGCCCATCTCCTTACTCGTGATGAAGAAACACTTGCAAAGCTTGGATATAAGCAAGAGTTCAGGCGTGCCTTCACCATGTTTGAGACATTCGGGCTCGTTTTTTCCATCATTGGGCTATTTCCAAGTATCGCCTCTGTCTTGGTCTATGCGATTCCAAATGGTGGTGCGGTGTCGATGGTGTGGGGGTGGCTCGTCGCTTCGCTGCTCCTGATGACAATTGCGCTGGCTATGGCTGAGCTGGCAAGCGCAGCTCCCACCTCTGGCGGTGTGAGTTCTTGCTCCTAACGCATAAACCATAATACTAGTAGCACCGGATTTTCCAACAATTGCTTACCTGGGGATTCACTACAGCTTTATTTCTGGGCTCATCACTACGCCTCTCCTAAATGGAGAAACTTGTTTGCTTGGATTGTCGGCTGTACGTGTCTTATCTTTCCCCCAACACAAGGGTTCCTCGTTCGCTGACAATAGTTGTTCCCGAACAGATGCTAATACAGTTGGTACCATAGCCAGCGTGGCGTCAATTGACTGGGGTTGTGCCGTCCAAATTATGGCGGCTGCGACAATCGGTTCGCCTCACTTATCTTTCTCGCCTACGACAAGTCAGACCTTGTGGGTGATCCGTATTCCGTATTTCTGAGCTAGTGACGCTTAGTTTCCCAGTGCTGTGTATCTTGCTATCGTTCTGTCTCACGCTGTTGTCTGCTGGTCGGTTTCAATTTCTCTTATCCTTACCGTCCACCGTTGCAACTCAATGGAACATTTTTCCGAAAGTCTTGGAACAGCGGTGCTAGCTCGCCTACAGAATATTTATACGTTTCTCAATATTGCGTAGGTCTTCTCAGTTGGTCAGCCCGACAATGTCAACTTATCCTTCATCATCGACAGTCTCTGTTTGGCAATCATCATTGTCATTCCTGCCGTGACTCCAAAGGAATATCACAATACCGCATCGTACGCCCTAGGCAACTTCACGAATCGTACGTAATTGGTTCTGCGCCTGTGCCATAATCGGAACCATGTCACTTATCAGTTCTCTGTATATCCCAGTGAACGGCTGGCCAAATGGCTTTGCTTTCTTCCTTTCATGGATGTCACCTGTTTGGACAATCTGTATGTGCTACTTTAGAAGGCCCAACGCTCCGTAGTACGATAAATCACTTGCAGGTTCGTTCGATTCCAGTGTGCACATTAGCGAAGAAGCGTTAAGTCGAAACAACTCTGCTCTCTAACTCGTACCCACATGTTTTGATCCATAGAACAAACGCAGCAACCGCCGTACCTTGGAGTATCGTCCTCGCCACCGGTGTTGGTGGCATCCTCGGCGCTGCAATCCTCATCGTCCTCAGTTTCTTCATGGGTACGGACATGGAATCCATTGTGAACAATCCAATAGGCCAACCAATGGCGACCATTTTATTTAACTCGCTGGGAAGGAAGGCTACGCTTTCCCTCTGGGCGATTGTGGTTATTGTACAGTATATGATGGGAAGCAGTATGGTAAGCATTAGCATGATCGGAAAGTGAACCTTTTCTCATTTGAAGGGTAAATGTCCAGCTTTTGGCTTCTTCGCGTCAGGCTTTTGCATTCTCTCGAGATGGGGCTCTCCCCTTCTCCAGGTATCTCTATCGGATGAATTCATTCACCGGGACACCAGTAAACAGTAGGATTTCCGACCCTGATTGAACCATCGATTCTGTGATCTGATTCATCTCCTTCTAGCCGTTTGGTTCTCGGCCATTGGAGCGGCTCTCCTGGGGTTACTTTCGTTTGCGGGTCCTGCCGCCATTAGCGCCATTTTTTCCATCTCTGTGATGGGGCTCTATATCGCGGTGAGTTGTTATCGCTTTTTTGAGACAATGCGACCGACTGTTCGACTAACTACTCACCGTTCAACCATCCCATCAGTACTCGGTTCCGATTATGTGCCGATTCGCTTTCCGCGGTTCGGCGAACAGGTTCGAGCCGGGTCCATTTTACTTGGGCAGATGGGTTAGTTTATTCAGTCCAATACCCTACTTGCCCATTATCCTTTACCGCTTTCGTCATCAGGGCCTCCCGATAGCCATTGTCGCTGTACACTTCATGGCGTTCATCAATGTCATCTTCCTTTTCCCAAGCACGCCTCACCCAGGTGCCAATGACATGAACTATTGTAAGTTTATACTCCCCTTTTCCGCCCCTCCGTGGCCCTAATATGAAACACGATAACAAAAATAGCCATTGTCGTGATGGGAAGTGTTCTGATCTTTTCCCTGACATGGTACTACTTCCCAGTGTACGGTGGCGTGAACTGGTTTCGAGGACCAATACCCACTATAAATCCCCAATACATCGGCAGTGAAGAGGGAAATTCGGACACCAGGCAATCTGATGTTGCCTTAGAGAAGAAAGTCGACACATGAGTGCGAGTACACAATGAATCCGTCTAGAAGCGAATCTTTAGGTTGCTATCCTATTTGGAGCTCAAGCTGCTTAGTTCTTTGCGGTCATGTCGTTTTCCCAGGAAGTTCGACTCGACATTTAGGCCACATCCCTCCGTCCGCTGCATCCGTAGTGCTTTCCCTTGTATTATTTTACCCATCTCGCTACTCCGAGATTCCTCCTTTCCAAGGCTTTCGCCGTCTATTTGGATTTGACTGCCCCAAAAATTACTGACCCCCAACCAAGATGAGTGACACTTCAGGGTAGCTTTCGAAGTTGCTTCCAACGAATGCTCAGCCTGATAGCCTCTTTGAGAGAACCCTGGGAAACCCTGTTATTGGGTGCTTGGCACCTAAATGACCATTCTCCCTATATCGAATATCTCATAGCCATGTATGTTTACATGAGGATGAAACGGAGTCCCCCGGAAAGATTCTCCAACCAGTGAGGGCGAGTCGGAAGTGCAACGAACAACACGCTTCCCCTACTAGCCGCAGCTCTGTGGCACGCGCGTTGGAGTGTCATGCGGTCGATAGGCTCGCAAGGGGTGTTGGTGGCACCATAAAGAGTACTTATCTTATGCTAGAAGTAGGCAAAGGTGCCACGAAGGGCAATGTGAGGGGGGCTAATATATGTGCCTCTTCCCCTTTCATGTCTACAATCCACTCCGGATTTCAGCACGGAGAATGCGATGAATGCTACCGGCTTTGATGAAGCTTTGGGCAGCTTCCATCCGGGTGACTTCCAGTTATCAGGAACGCCAGTTTTGAACGCTCGACATTATGAAAAGCCCACGGATCCAAGTATACAAGATGACACCGAGCTAACATTCGGAAGACAATATTTGAATCACATTGAACCAATTAAAAACCACACCAGTGCAGCCAACTCGTACATTTGCGTGTACACCGGTCCCATGGCTGAACGGTAGGGCTGGACGGTGGGCCATTGAGACCAGGTCCCTCCAAGACAGATGTCCCCGATAGTGACTCGGTGACGACAAGGACGTCCCGAGTATTAACGTAGACTTCGTACTCGCCCACCAAGGGAACAGACCCCTGGCGCCAAGCACCAACAGTTCGGGACTGATTCCAATCATTGGCATCGAGCTTGAAATGAGCCTTGATGCGGTATCTGATGCGCTTGCGATAGAGATAAGCGGATGAATATGCATTGACTTGAACTGGGATGTCATGAGTTGTTGGGGATCTGTTGTTCAATGTCGTGTCGATGGTTGAATGTCCCGTAGAGATGCCAGTTTCTGAGAAGATGGTCCCGAGGCTCACCGAATCGGCAGTCTTCTTTCCTTCGATGACTTCGAACCCAGTTGCCAGGGTGTGTGTGAACCTAGATAGCACAGGTAAGTGGACAGAACTGCGTCACACGGGACATAGGTACTGACGACTGAAGTGAGTCCTGATCGTTCTTCCAGCTTTGAACAAGTACCCATTCATGCGAAATGGCATAAACGTCGGCGACACGATACAGGGTTTCGGGAGGATCTCGCTGGTTGTAAATCTGGTATTCATGAGTGCCAATGTAGATTGGGGCACTCGCATTGGAAATGCGACAGGGGCGCGCCCTATTGGCCAAAGGACTCAAAGTGAGATTTGGCCAAGAACATACTGATCGCAGGGATTTACGTGCTGCCTTTAAGCTCCGCGTGCGCTCGACATACGGAGCAAAAGCATACGAAGGGACGAGGATCTACTAAAGCCATGGGGATTCCTGCAGTGGTCGAAACAGTACTGTCAGTTGAGGCATCACTAGCATTACAAAGGCCCGAATTGTTGGCTTCCTCACAAGGTGATTGATTGGCGGGGAACTTGAGTCCCGGCTGAGAAAACACTTGATAGCTTAAACTTGCCGCGAGTGTGACAGGCACCATCGCACCGCAACGTCATGTGGCCTTATCAGCTGGATAATCAGAATGGCAATATTATTGATAGCGCTCTGTTGTTGTGAGTCAACTTAGGCGCTCAGCGGCAACACTCGAGTGATAACGAGAGACAAAGGTAAGGCTGTATTATCATTCCATTAGTATCATTGTGACGTTTTATAGTACAGCGGGGCTATCGGGGTGAACGATTGGTGAACGACGTACAGACGCGTCGGAGAGGTCCCATGTGGGATGCTACGCATCTGCACTGACATGTTGCCAAAGCGGCATCATGACTTGCAATCCCACACGCTCATTCCAAGTCCAAAGAGTGGGTCCCAGATGTCCTACTGGCGGGCATGAAGAGCATCTTCGAGTGTCCTGTGGGCAGGGCTGGGATCCTACCTAATCAGCGACGCATTGGGGGGTTTCAATACCACTTAGTGGCTTGGAAACAGCGAGAGAATCCCGAGTATTACGTACACACCGAGTAAAGGAGTGGAGCCAAGTACCTACGGTTCGCCAATCGTTGGTAGAGAGCTAAAAAATGTACATCCATGCATGCGGTATTTGACGTGCTTGCGATAGACATAGGCGGATGCCCATTTGAACTGGGGTGTTTTTGGAGACAGTGCGTTATCTGGTCTGGGGTTGATCGTAGAATGCCCCGTAGTGATGCCAGTATCTGAGAAGATTCTCTCGAGGCTTATTCCCAATCTTTAGGGTGTGTAGTGGACCTAGACAGTACCGTGAGTCGGGGCCCCAAGTCATGCACGCGCGTAGGGCGAACTGACGTCTGGGATGATTCTGTGACGTTCTGCAAACTCTGCCGGTATCTCTAGGTGCCGACGCGAACTGGCGCCTTCTTTTTTCACATTGAACAGAGTGAGACAGTGAAGCCAAGTGCACATCAATCTCAGGGATTTGCTCCGAGTGCTTCAAGTCTCGCAAGTGCATAGTCTCGACATTTGGAACAAAAGCACATGAAAAGAAAAGGTTTCTACGGAAGTCGAAATGGCATTAATTGAGCAAAATGCTATATACGCACAAGATCTCTTACGCTGGGATGTCGACTTCTCCGATGAAGGCGGGTTAGGGGCTCAACTGCGGCTGAGCGAACACTTGATAACTTTGAACTCCTTCACTACGGGCAGCACGGAGTACTAGTTTGGTACTAGTATGTGTCTTATCAGCCACATGTGAATAGAAAAGATGAGCGGGAAGGTTCAGTGAGTTGCTTGCCCAGGGCAAGACAAAAAACAAAGGGACCACAAGAGCAAGTGGGGTATCCTCCAGGTCATCCTTCCTCCCAGTCAAATCTAGGGTCCGGAGTATATTACACTCCACCAGCGACTCCTTACCCACACATCTGGTCGACCGCGCGCACTGAGAGGAAGTTGCTCCATGTTTGGGCTTGTGCCAACGTACCCACGTAAAGTGATCATCGGGACTAGTATTACACGCTCGACAAAATGAAATCCAGACAGGATAATGCGAATCCATCAACCAGAATACAACGACCGACAGTCACGCATGAACAGTTTTGCTGGGTTAGAAATTATTGGAGTGAAGCCACCCTGTACATTTGCCTGTACATCGGTCCCATGGCTGAACGGAAGGCCTGGCTGGTGGGCCACCGACGCGAGGGTCGTCCAGGAAGGATGCCCCACTTAGTGGCTTGGAAACGATAACACAATCTCGAGTATTGACATATATCTCGTACACGCCGAGTAACGGAGTGGGACCCTGGCGCCAAGCGCCTACAGTTCGGAATTCCCGCCAATCATTGGCATCGAGCTGGAAGTGCACATCTACTCGGTATTTAATGCGCTTACGATAGAGGAAAGCGGACGTATTTGCACCGATTTGAACCGGGATGTCTTCCGATGCCGCGTTATCTGGAGCGGTGTTGATCGTAGAATGCCCCGTAGTGATGCCTGGATCTGAGAAGATTTTCTCGAGACTCATCGAGTCGACAGTTTTATTCCCCTTGATAACATCGACACCGGTCCTCAGGGTGTGGGTGAACCTAGATAGTAGACGTAAGCGAGCACCCAAGCGCCGCACATAGGGTATACTGACGTCTGAGGCATATCTGTGATGTTCTGCAAGCTTTGAAGGAGTATCCATTCATGCGAAAGGGCATAGACGTCAGCGACGCGATACATGCTTTCGGGGGCATCCCGCTGATTGTAGATCTGGTGCCTATGGGTGCCGATGTAGACTGGCGCCCTCGCACTGTAAATGAGACTAGGGATCGTCCTGTTCAACAAAGCTCTCCGTGTCAGATTCAGCCAAGAACACAGTGATCACAGGACTTTACTCAATGTTGACTTCCATGTCTTGACGTTGGAAAACCATTCAGTTCGACCCAGCGGAACCGAAGAGATCCTTACCCATAGGATCCTGCAGGATAGCATTAGTTGGGTAGGCCGATGCACAAGGGGGCCCCTTACAGTCTGCCTTTCTTTCATAAGGTGGACAGTCGGCGAAGAATCTGAGCTGCTGCCAAGAGGAGACTTGAAGGGTTCAAATTCGCCGTAGTACTGTGAAGGGGGTCTGTTCCACCCCATTGAGCCGCCGCGCAGAGATGTCACGTGCCTTGTGCTTCTGGCTGCGCGCAGTACTACTGCTACTGATGCGCAACAAGGCCGCAATTGCATATCGTCTCAGCCACGTGCAGACGTAAAAGTCATTCGAGCTTTCCTGCTTCAATAAAGAAATACCTTCCACTCAGGGGAAGATGTGGATGTGAGGTCTGTGCGTACGCACGCGACGGACGAAGCGTGTGCAGGTTAGAGAGACCCCCTCAAAAGGAAATGCACCCTTTCAGACAGGCCTAGAGACGCGTATGACGCGCTCCAGGCCACCAGTCGACTTCCAAACCTTCTGGGACCGAACCATTGTTGACGCCTGTTTGCACCGGCACCAAGACTCATGACGAACCTTCTCCCACTTGTACTTGCGACAACACCCGAATGGCTCACAATTTTGGGGCTCATTTTCGGGGGATGCTGTAGGTAGGTACCTTTGAATTTTTGTGGCTTGGTCTTCGGGCTGATACCTAATCGTTACATGTAGCAATGCGCTCACTCTGGAATACGCAACATCCCACAACCCGAGGTCAGGATCCCTCATCACCTTCGCTCAATTCGTCCTGGTTTCTCTCTTTGGCTTGAGAAAACGCTTTATTTTTATCGCGCAAAGTCACGATAAGAAAGGCGACTCTAACTCGATGCCACGCGTCTCTCTCATTCAACGAATCAAGCGTGTACGAATCAAACCGCTAGCCGTGCCGCTACGTCGGTGGGCTATACAAGTCATTCTGTACCTGGGGATCTCGCTATTGAATAATTATGCTTTCAAGTATCGCATACCAATGGCAGTCCATATCATTTTCCGAAGTGGTGGACCCGTTGTGAACATGATCATTGGATACGTCCAAAGGAACAAGCGCTACCCTAGACTCCAAGTTGCAGCTGTCGTCCTTGTTTCTGCCGGCATAGCCGCGTGTACGGCACCGGGTGCTCAGGGCACGAAGCCAAGGGTCTCCACGACTTCATCATCTATTCATTCCGATACATACACCGCCGTCGGCGCCATTTCGTCTCACATAGAGTACAGTCTGGGAATAGGGATGCTGGCGCTTGCTCTTGTTCTCTCACAATATCTTGGGTTCTCCCAAGAAGAGACCAATAAACGCTATGGTCGTGGTCATTGGGAAGAAGGAATGTTTTTCCTTCATTTTCTCTCCCTTCCAATGTTCTTTTTCGTACGGGAAGATCTCATAGAGCAAATAAAATTTGCCAACGCAAGCGAGCCTGTCAGGATTTCCGAATCCCTGTATACATTATTTGCCATGCCGATGGATTTTGTTGGGTTCGCCATTGGCGTACAGGGTATTGTGTTGCCGTCATTCACATCTATTCCTTGGCCTCCGTGGCTTCCGACACTTCTTTTACCGCCACTCTCATCCCTAACAATACCCTATTTTTGGGTACCACTCATCCTAAACGTCCTTACTCATACCATATGTGTCTCGGGCGTGAACAGACTCACAGCACGGGTAGACTCATTGACAGTCACCCTCACACTTACCGTGCGGAAGGCTGCCTCACTGATCATCAGTGTTGTTCTGGTTGGAAGAAGCAGAGGGAATATATGGCTTTGGGGTGGATCTACGGCTGTGCTTCTGGGTTCTGTGCTTTATACGTATGGCGGCGACAATAGGCGGCCAAGGGAAGAATTGAAAGCAGAATAATGGTAGTTCGGGATTTGAGTCAACTCACCAGATGACGTCCTTGTTATGTAGGGATTTTCAAGCGTTATACGACTTCGAGCGGTAGCCACGTCTCAATATGTTAACTTGGACGTTGCTGTACATATAGAAGAATAACTATAGGCCATGACCGTTCGGAGAGAATTAATGGGGTTCGACACATCATAGTGAGGATCATGGGGGAAGGGAACACAAAATGATACCCGTGCCCTGGCATGGCCACTCTGCAGATGGAACCGGATCCCCGCTGCCAGAAGCTCAACCTAGCCGTACTGCGACAAGCCAGCTTGAATCGTATTTGAGTTCTGGCTTCGGTTGGGGCTCTGCGCTGCTCAGGCTGCCAGGGTTTGGAGTTGGTCGCAAGCCACGACGAACAACGTTTCCGCGAGTTCGAGCTACTCAAGTTCAGATCTGAAGGTACAGAAAACTATTTAAGTCATATTATGAATGTATGTAAGCAAATGGGTGCCCCCGCGACTAGCCAGCGATGTGACGACAGATACAATGACTAAAGTATTCAGTTAAGAGGTTGGTCGTTTACTGGTCGGAGAAGTCGAAGGCGTCGTTCAAATACTTCTCAATCTCTTTCTTGTGCTGGGACTAAAGAAAACCCATTGCCGTAGGTAAGCAAAGAAGATGGGGGGCTATTTCAAACGAACCTTGCTGCCCGTGGCGACGGAACTAGTTGGATCACGTCCCGCGTAGCGTGGGAACTTGCCCTGGTGATATTCAGTCTTCGTTGTCGCGGTCTGTATGCGAGGGGCAACGTAAGACCATGCGCCAGCGTTCAATGGTTCTTCCTGAGAGTTCAAACATAAGGATAAACAAAGGATGCCTGGCGGAAGGGACTCACCTGACACCAAAGGATATCCGCATTGGGATACCTGTCGAGGTGAGGAGTCAACTAACAAGGACAGCAATTCAGTTCGACTGAAGTGAGTCTAAGGAAAGAGGCCCACGAGGTCGTAAGGGAAGGGCGAGATTTGTTCAAGACGACTGATAGCAACGTCCTTGATACCGCGATCCTGACGTCCCTTCAACAAAGCATAGTAAGTTTGGCCTGACACGGGGGGGGCAATGCATCAGCATCATTTGTCCCTAGTCTGCAACTGTGGCGCTTACCAGTGCAGAGGATATGACGCCTGATCTCCTCAGGGGGTACGAGCTGATCTTCGTATGGCTCGGGCAAGTAGCGCTGGAAGATGGTATCTCCCATCATTTCCTCAAGATCCGATTTGGCGATAGGGTGGCGAAGGAGTTGCTTTGAGAAGAACAAGATAAGCTGAGCCAAATGATCTTAGCAGCTGTATATCGCTCAAGAAAATGAGGAAACCATACTGGCTTGCGGAAGTCACGGTGGTTCTGACGACGAAGCACGTGGAACTGGAGGAGGCAAAGTCAGCTCGGCGTTGACGTGCGGCTACAAACAGTCATCTTACATAGTTAGCCGGAGTACTAGTGGAGAGGAATCAGCTTCGGTCTGGCTCCGGAGCTACTCAACACTCACCTAGGATAAACGATCTGCATATTGCAATCTTGATGTTGCCTCTCAAGCTTCTCCGGTGGTGGGTAGATATGGGGGTGATCGTCTACAAGTTGCAAGAACCTCTCGATCCTTGCACTTGAATGTTCTGGGCCTTGGCCGTCAAACCCATGAGGCAAATTCATCACAAGTCCAGTACGTTGCAACCATTTCTTCTCCCCAGAAGCAATGAACTGATCAATGATACATTGAGCGTTGTTCGCAAAGTCGCCGAACTGAGCCTCCCATATGGTGAGTGAGTTGGGTGAGACGAGAGAATAGCCGAGTTCAAATCCGAGACAGCCGTATTCTGAGAGTGACGAGTTGCAGACACTGAACTTGGCCTGACCACCGCCGAGGTTGTTGAGTGGAATGTACTGAACTTCGTTCTCCTGGTCATGAATGATAGCATGTCTCTGCGAGAAGGTGCCACGCTCAACGTCCTGGCCCGAGAGACGGACATCACACTTCTCAAGTACCAACGATCCGATTGCCAATGCCTCAGCAGTGGCCCAATCAATGCCTTTCCCTTCGCTCACTGTCTTTCCGCGGTTGCTTAAAACACGAGCAAGATTACGATGAGGTGTGAAGCCTCTGGGATAGCTGGAAATAGCATCGCCAATATGCCGCAACGTCTCGGCAGCGACACCTGTGGGTTTGTGGGGTAGGATGTTTTCCGCCAGCTCAACAGGGCTTGGGAAGTTCGGCCAAGCAGAAGACAACCACTCCTTCGGACTCGGCTGGTAATCCTTTGCGGCAGCACTGGCTTTTTCAAGCATACCCCAAACCCACTTCTTGTGGGCAGCGATCTCCTCCTCGGTGAAAACTTTAGTATCGATGAGTTTTTTCATGTACTTATTGAGGGGGGTGACCTGCTTCTCAATAGCTCTGTACATTCTTGGCTGCGTGAACATCGGCTGATCGGTCTCATTGTGGCCATAGCGACGATAGCAGACGATGTCAATGACTACGTTCTTCTTGAACTTGGCGCGATAATCCGCGGCGAGTTGGCAGACAAAGGTAAGAGCTTCGACATCGTCCCCATTCACGTGAAAAATGGGTGCGTCGATCGCTTTTGCGAGATCGCTAGGATAAGGCGTCGAACGAGAGAAACGAGGATCAGTCGTGAAACCAATCTGATTGTTCACGATGAGGTGGATTGCACCGCCAGTGCCGTAAGCAGGGAGATTGTGCATGCCCATCGTCTCATATACGACGCCTTGACCCGCAAAAGCTGCGTCACCGTGAAGCAGAACGCCCATAGCAACATTATGTTGCTTCTCGTCGCTCTCGAAGTGCTGGACGGCTCGAGTTTTTCCAAGAACGACAGGATACTCGGCTTCAAGGTGAGAAGGATTGGCAACAAGTGAGAGGGCTACCTTCTTTCCAGACGGTGTAGGGCGTACATAATTCGCTCCAAGATCTGTGGAATAATCAAAATCCTTTCCCACAATAGAAAACTCGATCTGGGACTCACGATATTTGACATCGCCACCCGCATCCTCCTCCGCGCCCGTGAATTCGTTCAAAATAGCCTCGATGGGTTTCCGAATAACGTTTGCCAACACGTTTAGACGCCCACGATGCGGCATACCAATAACGATGCTCTTGATTCCATGCTCGACACTCCGGTCGATGAGTGCCTTCATGCCAGGAATAAGGACTTCACAACCCTCCAAACCAAATCGTTTTTCGGTGGGGAATTTGCTTGCGATGAACTGTTCGAAAAGTTCAGACCACATGAGCCTGTCAAGTATCATACGGGTCTCGTCCACGGTATAATTCCATGGTCGAGGAATCTCAACGCGCTCTCGTATCCAGTCGCACTGGTCTTTGTCAGGAATGTGGATGTACTGAACACCTATGTGGCCGCCTAGATAGGGATCGAAGGCTTAAGCGAAACATCCTTGGCTTGGGGCTGAAAACATACAATATATTCGCTTGCACTGATCAATAATTTCGCGCAACGTCATGGACGAACGGCCGTCTGTAGCGAAATGAGGCAGGATACCAGGACCAAGATTGAATGATTTGTCAAGATCACGCTCGGTCCAACCATAATGGCTTAATTCCAACTCTTGGGGCCGAATATTTTGCAAGTCTGCATCGAGTACACCGAGGGGATCTAACTCTGCGACATGGTGCCCACGAACTTGGTACGCCCTAACCAAAAGTTGAACCTAGAAGATTAAATCCGCGCATCAATGACGTTTGCGCCGACTCTTTCCGAGAATAGAAAAATGCAGCAAATGTAGCGCTTCGGGGGCTCACCTTGAGATGGTCTGTTAGCTGTTGTGCACCGCCCTGGATATGCAGTGTAGGTGCTCCCCCAGTCTCAAGAGGGACATCAAGCAAACTGGGTGGTGGGGTAAATGCCTGAGGGCTGGGCAAACCGTTCTCTAGACCTGAGAAATATACGTCCCAGGAGGCATGCACACTCGATGGATCCTGTCTCCACCTCCTGTACATCTCTTCTGCGTAATAGGCGTTATTCCCGGTTGCGAACACATCGTTCGGAGAAGGCGATGGAGCTGCTGTGGCGTAGGACGAGTGCGATGGGAAGAAAAGTGTTGAGGCGGTTGCTCTAGTAGGAGTTCCAGCAGCGCATTTCCGTGCGGCTTTGATTAGGTACGGAGTTAGTTGCTTCCCGAGCATGTTGAGTAACCGCCAAAGTCCAACGCAAAAAGGAGCCCAGACAAAGGTCTGGGAGCGAAGATTGCCACGGTTTGATTATGTAAGAAATCTCTTCCGGCATTTTAACGAAAGCAGCACAGTTTTAGCCGTGCCAGTCGACCATCATAATAAAGGGTTAGCCCAGGGTAGAATGTTGGCTAGGAACTCTGTGGCCAGGAACGTGTTCAAAGCGACGCGATCGGCTGGCTCGCGGGTCATCTTGCGGTCTCGCATCACCACGTCTGTAACAAGGGCTGACCCTCCGGATTCTCAAGGAATACCCCCTCCCCTTAGGGGCACCAGAATCGTTGACCTCACTCGTGTGTTAGCCGGTCCGACTGCAACAATGCTACTTGCCGATCTCGGGTGAGGTTTATTATCGATGTTATGTGGATAATAATTTATTGTTAAACTTCTCTTACAATGCTCTGTCGCACTGATGTCTTGACGGACTCAAGGGCCGACGTTATCAAAATAGAAGAGGTCAAGTGTGGGGATGACACTCGTGAGTGGTTTCTGGTTATTCACGCTTGATTTATTGGGTTAAACGTGATTAGGGTCGTGGTTCCCGCCTTCAGCTGCTCTTCTGCCTGCAGAATCCCAACCCCCGAATACATCTCATCTTCCACCTGAATCGACCTATTTCCTCTCCGTGAATCGAAATAAGCGCTCCTGCACTATTAACTTTAAGCATCCCGATGGCCTTTCGGTTCTTTACGACCTCATAAAAACCGCGGATGTTTTGGTGGAAAATTTCATCCCAGGTAAGCTGGCTGAGATTGGGTTGGGATGGGAGGATTGCAAACGAATTAATGACAGGTTGATCTATGCCTCTATTTCCGGTAAGTACTGGTCGTTCTTGCTTTCCATTGTCCGAAGTGGTGTAATCAATCCCAGGCTATGGACAGACCGGACCCTACGCTAAGAACGCAGGATACGACGTCGTCATAGAAGCGGAGGCTGGCCTCATGCACATGTGCGTTACTTCGATCTCCCAGAATGTGGGTTATCCCAGGTGTGGAACTGAACGAAGGTGGCCACTGCGACAGAACAGGTGAACCGGATGGTATGCCCAACAAAGTGGGCGTGGCAGTCACCGACATCTCCACAGGCCTGTTTGCCCATGGCGCCATACTTGCTGCATTACTCTCCCGCCAGCAAACCGGGAAAGGTGTCTGGATAGATTGCAATCTGTTCGAGACGCAGATATCAGGTTTAGCCAATGTAGCCTCTGCTTACCTCATAGCGAGCAAAGAAGGCGGCCGGCACGGCACGTCCCACCCCTCCATCGTTCCGTACCAGGTGTTCCCATGCAAGGATGGCTATCTCATGATTGGCGCAGGAAATGACCGACAAGTAGGTGCTGCATATCATCAATTCTTTCCAACCATCGCCCATAGTGCTGAAAGGGCACGTTAGTTCACCAAGCTTGCGGAGAATGTGCTGAATCTCCACGAGCTCACGACTGATCCACGCTTTGCTTCTAACTCCTCACGCGTGGCTCACCAGGAAGAACTTGTTAAAATCATCACAGACGCATTCATGAAACATAACACAGACCATTGGCTGAGAGCATTTCAGGGTCAAGGGTATGTCCATTCTCCCGCCTTACATATGCTACACGCTGCGTTCTTTTGATGAAATTGACGATTGGGTCTGTGCATTTTCTAGAATACCGTTTGGCCCGATCAACAACATCAGCCAAACATTTTCCCACCCCCAAGCCATCGCTCGGAGGGTCACGGTCGAGGTTGACGTGAGTTTCTATGCTAGTTGTGAACCTTGTGCGTATTCTTGCTGACAAGTTCTGAGCAGCATCCGAGAGCAGGAAAACTGAAGCTTACCGCGCCACCTGTTTCGTATAACGGAAAAAAAATGCCTGTTAGAACACCTCCACCGTATCTGTCGGAACATACAGAAGAGGTACGGCATGCCGTTTCTGCGTTGATGCGATGGATATACTGACCGTCCTAACAGGTGCTCACAAGAGATCTGGGGTACTCGAAGGAAAGGTTCAATGAGTTACGAAGGCTTGGAGTTGTGTAGTTATCGTACTGAACATGGCATGAGTTCCTGGGTTGAAGCAGCCTCCAATGAAGGATGTCAGAGCGAACTATGAAAACAGCGCCAGCGAACACTCGTCGTCAGCATGCTTTGATTAATATTTCAAACATGGTTCATTCCAGTCTGAGTCGGGGCCCCACTCGATCACAACCAAAGCACGTACAAGTGAAGTACTTTGGATACGGATATTGTTTATAACTTATACTGTAGAATTTGATCAATTTTCCCGGTGGACTGATTCATTTTGACTTCTCCTCGATTGCGGCAGGCAAGGTCTGCGTTGCCTTGCCCAACCTTCGAGAGATCATGCACAGTAATGACCCTCAAACTCGACCGAACCCTCTCTGTGATTTTGGTCGAAGGTCAAAGACTCGATTTTGATGCTATCCCCAAGGGGTGGCGAATCGCATGCTTGTATGGTTCATCGAGCTTGCTGACACCGCCAATTGAGTTGACGTGATCAACGTATTGGGTGAGGTCTTGCAAGTCTCCGCCATGAAGCGGAGGTGGTCTGAAAGAAGATGTAAACATCACCGGCAAGTGATCAGACACCGATAACACACCTTTGCGTCCGTCTGATGGATCGGACGAAGTTCTGGACGTAATATCAATGTTGTGACGCACGGGCAGGAGCTCACTTCCCCGCATCACAACAGAATTAGAGCCACGGCAACCCTAACGGAGCGGGTTCGAGTGGCTCCTCGTTCTGACACTTCTCGTACCCTGGAATTCTCTTCGTCGCTTCATCTACCACCTCCGCCTACCTCTTTAGCTCCTACGCCAAAGGCGCTGCATGCCCGGACAGCGATGTCGACATCGCGTCCCGGCCTCTGCTGTTACAAGCTCACAGACCTCGGTAGTGTCCATATGTGCCTCAAGAGCGCGCTCAATAGGAAGGCCGAGGCGTACTGGATGCCAATTGACCTTCGACGTGAGACTGCCAATGAACCTATCAATTCCGCGGCATAGCTATAGTTGATGTGCCATGACTACTCCAGCAGCTTACCCTCCTCAATGTGCAACAAGACAAGGGGGATCACAAGGCTGGTAGCTGCCTAGATCGCAATAGGAATCGGGAAATCTTCATCGGCACCGTGCACAGCCACAGGACGCGACTAAGCAAATAGTGCCAAACATTGTTCAACTCTCTGTCCTACACGCGACTGTTGTTTTCCAAGCGCAAGCATAATGGCGAGCGTGAACCATGTTACCCAAAAAATGTCTGAGATGGACATTGGTCAGGCCCCTACAAAACCCGGCTTTACTCGGGTATCCCGGACAGACTTGAACACTTTTGGGTCAAGCGTTAGAGTGGCTCCACGAGTTCCTGCCAAGGTGAAGCCGGCGACCAAGACAGTGAAGCCAATGGGCTCCTCAAGTTCCCTTACTACAAGCACTCATTTAAGTGGGAATCGACCCCCATTAGCGAAGCTGCAACAGCAGTCTTCCACAGCTTCGCTGCACAATGGCCCCACATCCACCAAAATGCCAGCGCCTTCCGCCTCATCTCAGTCAGATGTTGATATCGGTAGATATGATGGAGGTTTTGAAAGGGACAATGAACGAAGGGGGAGTACTGTGTCCGGTGAAGCCTCGGCGATGCTCAACCTAGACTCTTCAACAAGCCAGTAAGTTGCTTCGGCGTGTTAATCTCAACAATAGCATTGATTCCCCGCAGATCACATCCCACCCGCGTGTGGAGGTTAAATTCCTTCGAAATTGGTCGTCCGCTCGGGAAAGGCAAGTTCGGACGCGTCTACATGGTGCGAACGAAGGAGCCTCCGAAATTCATTCTCGCCCTGAAGTGTCTGTACAAATCCGAACTGGTAGACGGCCGCGTCGAGAAGCAGACACGTCGTGAGATCGAGATTCAGAGGAATCTGCGGCATCCGAACGTCTTGCGTCTTTATGGGTTTTTCCATGATGAGAAGAGGATTTTCTTGATGTTGGAATTCGCGGCAAAGGGAGAACTATACAAGCAACTCGCGAAATTTGGGAGTTTTTCAGAAAAGCGGAGCAGTCGGGCACGTCCATTCCACCACAACTGACATTATCTGACTGATTGTTTGTTTTTAGTACATTGCTCAGATGACAGATGCGTTGCAATATCTGCATAGCAAGCATGTCATACACCGCGATATCAAACCTGAAAACCTTCTCCTCGGCCTTAATGGAGAGCTGAAGATAGGTGACTTCGGTTGGAGTGTTCACGCACCCGGTAATCGGTGCGTCCTCCTCTCATGGCTGCCTTGAGCAGTATTGACATTGCCCCTCAGTCGGACAACATTATGTGGTACTCTCGATTACCTACCTCCCGAAATGGTTGAAGGAAGACCTCACACTGAGAGAGTCGATTACTGGGCGCTTGGCGTCCTCACTTACGAGTTTCTTGTTGGCAATGCGCCCTTCGAGGCAGATGGTGCTTCAGGTATGCGAATCCCCTAAAACAACGTATCCAATTTTTTGAAAGATGCGGTACGATAGCTACATATCGACGGATTGCCACGGTCGACCTGAAGATGCCCAGTCGCATCTCACCGGACGCTTGCGACCTTATCCAACGTGTACGTCCCCAACTCGCTGCCATATTTAAGTCCCGACATACTGATTTCCCGCCAGCTGCTGCGTAAAGAGCCCGAGGACCGACTTGCTCTCAGCGAAGTGGCCAAACACCCTTGGATCATGCGATACCGGCGCTCCAGCAGTTCATTGCAGGGATGAAGTCCTGTTATTCGCAAGTACCAAGCACAGAGGCTCTTCTTTCGCGTTATTAGCATCGCTTGCCTATTTATTTGCTTTCCCCCATTCGTTCCTGGACTCGAGATGGACAATATAAGCCCATTGCGACCCAATTCTCCTAGAGCCATTCCCCCACGCAACTATATGGATAGGTATGTTCCGACAGGCAAACACAGGGATAGGATAGCCTTTGGAATAACTAGGGATGTCCTGTGCTGGTTCTCGTAGGTCTTGTGCAATTTCGGGTGGACTAAAGATGCAAAGGGGAAAAACAACACATAAAGCTTAATTTCAACTGAGACGCAATACCATTAACAATGGGTTGATCCAACAAACTGTACGGACTTGTTTCGTGTTAGCGCACAGTGCTGGTAGAGCACCTCTGATATGCCCAAGGGCCACACCATCACAGCCCCCCACTTGAGCTGTTATTATGGCAGTTTGGAGATTGGCGAGACCGTTCGTTTGGGTGATCCAGGCACCTACATCTGAACCATGCATAAATATTCTCCAATGTACTCAGTGGGGAGCTAGGCACACACGGCAAATGGTGAAACCACCGGTGGTTGACCGTCCGAAATCCTTCGGGCTAGATTCCTAGGCCAGAGTCAAGCCGAAGCGCAATGCCCAAGAATCAAGCCTGTGGACGACTGAATCACTAGAAGCGAACTTTTTTTAATATCACATCAGTTTCGAAAGATGTCCGGGGCCAAGCCCAAGCAGGCCAGCGCAAGTAAGCTAAGAATTGTCCTGGGTCCGGGACGGCGCATTTCGACATTGGCTGGCACCTCCTACCATTGGCTCTACTTGTATAAGCAAGAACACCAAAGGCTCCATATTGAAAGGGTCTAGCTAGGCCAAAACGAAATGAAATCCTTTGGTCAATCCTGCTTTCGAGAAGATAAGGTTGATCGTTCTCCTTGGAACAGCGACTCCATGTGGTTAAAACACATGAAAAACTCGAGGCACTTTCTCTCCAGATTCCTTATGGCCAACTCCCAAAGGATAGATTCGGCTGGTCCCTCGCTATGTAACTCGTCGGGATCGGGCGAAAATAACTTGAGATCTGACGCAATTAAGAGTCTTCGTACGGAGGACTCTTCGCATAGGGAGTTCGGAATAGCTACTCACGGCGAAGAGCCTCTCAAATATCGAGGCCTAACACCAGCCGGAATTCTTTCTTGAATGGCAATTCCGGCAGACGACGCTGAATCCTGGGATGTACGCGGAGCGCATGGATTGTGGAGGTAGTGGCTGATGGCTGCTGCTAAGGAGATCGACTCCCTCAGAAGTACGTCTATTCCAATAGAGGCTGGTAACCTGCCTAAGATAGACCTCAGATAGAGCATCTCAGAAGGACGGGCACCGGAACTGACCGATGCACCGCCACCAGCACTGAAAAACGTATAAAACCGCTCGACAACAAATTTGTTGCCGGCCTTAGCCCCTTGAGATCTCCAAGACAACTTCTTGCCTGTACATATCATCCTACACTATCAGACGCTGTATGTTTCAATACCTCCTGGGAGGGGAGTCCGCGCTGGCCATTCGAAAGGAGAGAGGAGCGTCAGCCTCGGGCGAACGCGCGAGATGAGTGTTTGACACCGATTTTTCTTTTCTCCCATTTTGTCGGCAACCATTGCACCTTTCTTTGAATCCTTCCTTGTCTGATTTCTGTTTGTTTGATTTCTTTTGGTTTCTTTTTTTTTTTTTCTCATGCATGGAAACGAGAACTCCCGGGATCCAGCTCTCATTCCCAAGCAGGGTCCCGACATTACACTCATGCAAGAATGATGTTGCCTTTCCCGATGCTAGAGCTTCGTTGCTCATTCTCCTGCGACGGTAGTGTAATTTTTTCGGGTACATCATAGTACTCAGCTTTTTTCGTCCCAATCGATCAATCTCCTCCACGCTGTATCTCCATATTGTTTCCTCTTCAAGACTCATGGCACTAATATATATCTATATCCCCAGTGCGCGTTTGACAATCATTGAACCGTCGAGAATCTCTATGCCTCTTGGATCGTTATTTTTTTTTTCGTGCTTGTCGTTTTCTTTTGTGAACCCTCGCTAACAGCACGGCATGCATTATTTGACAACTGCAGGGTTTTGCTCGACTGAAGCTTGGGCCCTATGGTTACCGTGCAAGAACAGATATTGTTCCCTCACGTCAAGCTCCGTTGCGCCTCTCGCATTGGTTGTTGAAATACCCCGGGAAACATTATTTACCTCTCCCATCTTTCCATCTTTCTTTGTGCCGTGTTTCCATACTGTTACGCTTTCGGTAGTGAGATAGGATCAGTTACATGCACATAAAATATATATGTATTGGAGTTTTGTCGGTCGTATGATGTTTGGTGCCGAACCTTCAGTTGGTTGATTCAGCTCCAGTAACTTTGTGAGCTGCTGACAATGTCAAGATGAGGTGAGAGTGTGTTTGACGTTCAATTTGGTGGGCGCGATAGTCATGATGGATCCAGGCATGC